TGTAGCTTTGTAATTCAGCAGCTTCTTCCTCTCATTCTTGATAAACTCTGCCTTCCAGGAATCTGGAAACACATCAACATTTGCTTCATCTCAGCAGTTTGGTGCACTTTGTTGATCACAACATATGAGTTAAACAAGTCAGTTCCTACGTGGCTAAAAGAGCTACATGTGTCTGTCAAATGACTGTAACTTAGACACTGCTGTGTGCGGGTGGAGCTAAACGCTAACTAAGCTAACCTAGCTCAGGCTCACCGCTGTATTTCCCTCCATAGAAGGTCATCGGGAATCCAGAAGCTCCTCCAGCGAAGTCGGTCATCATCACATCCACATGCTGTGGTAGCCGGCCTCCGTTTGGTCTGGTGCAGTCCACAGTGTTGAGGATCATGTGACCTGCAATCAAAACTGCATGTTATATCCTAATCAGACTTATTTTCACAGCATCAGTAATAATATTAATTAAAATGACACCTTTGTAGTCAACAATGATGCAGGTGTCCATTTCAGGATGTACACCATCCATCAGGATCATGAATCTCAGGTGTTCATCAATCTGAGACAGGAAGAGCCATTTTACTTCATAATCATATTTCCCCCAAAACGAAATGAATCATTTTACAATTCAACATTTTCCAAACATGTTTATCGTAAATACTCTTGACCACATGATAGAGGTGTGACTTACATTTTGCCAAACACCAAAGGGAATGACTTTAATGTTGGTCAGCTTCACTTGGCTTTGCTTCAAATACCTGTCACAGCAGAACAACAAACTCACTTTGATTTATTTCCTCTGTAATTTATGGGGAAGATTGAGCTCCACGTCACTACTAACCAAAACACAGGTCTGGATGTGTCACCAACATATATGGGGACATCAGGCCTTCTTTCTGCCAACAGCTTCAGTGTGGGATAGCTACACAGCAAACAACACGTCAGCACGCCACTGTGTCAACATGAACAGTGTCCAAGGCTAAAGATTATACTCTTTGTAGATTCTGAAGTTTCTAACCAGAAAGAAAACATTTTATTTAATATTCCAAAAACTGCTTTTGTTTCTTTTCTAGTCAGAAGTGACATTAACAGTTACTGTGTGGAGTCGCGAGCTACTCCTCTTTCTTCATATGGCTCCTCACAGAATGAGCTGGTTGTTAATTACAAACAATTACAGGAATACAAATCCTGTCACGTTAAAGGTTTGTTATCCTACAGAGTGGAATAAACTGGAAATGTATTTTTGAATCTCAGTGACAGTTATATATTATTATTATTGTTATAATAATAATAATAATAATAATAATAATAATAATATTCTATATTAT